CCACAGTAGTTTGATTATTAAAATTGATTTTGGTAACCACTCAGAGTGTGAAGGACAGGTCCTTGAATTCCCATTTTAAATGGAAAAATCTCAGCATTAGAGAAATTGTTTGCCCAGGGTTTTCTGTGGTGAAGAAACAGACTCCCCTCCTTTCACCCTATCTACGGTGCAGAGAAAGAGTGCACTGGTTAAGTCTGTCTGCACATAAGAAGACTCTAGAATAAAAGGGCAGAGTGAAAAAAACAAGGCAAACCAAATCATAAGGAAAACTAGAAATTCACTTGCTCAATTTTGCTTCTCTTTTTCTGACAGCTATTGAGGAACCAGACCATTATCTCCCTCACTAGAGAAAACATCCCAGCCAGCCTAAGAACATGTGCTCAGCAGTAAGCAATAAATAGCTACAGTTAGCTGGGATTTCCAGCTTTTGGGCACTGAACCCAGATAGCAGCCTTCCTGCTCAACCATCTACTTTCTGCAGTCCTGGAATTGGGAGAAAATCCCCACCTGACACTAAGTGACCTAGGAACATTCTTCCATCTCTCTTGCCTCCACAGCCTGGAAATAATTGCAACTATTAATAGTCAACATCTGACAAGTGCTTACTGTGGGTCACACTCACCTCATTCTCAGAGCAACCCATAGGACAGGCACTCATGTTGTTCCTATTTCTTCATGAAGAAACTGAGGCAGAGAGGCCAGGTAATTTACTCAGAGTCCCCAAAGTGACTATGTTGCCAGGATGGGGATTTAACCCAGCACATGTCTCCACACTGACATTCTGATCAGAGCCTACTGGCTGGTTAGTTGGAGATTCAGCACATTCCTCCTCCCCACCTCTTGGATTTACTCCTTTGGATTATATAAGTATGTGTAAATTTCTTCCTTCTATCCAACTGTAAGCTTCCTTGATGGTATTGACTTTGTCTTACTCATCGTTGCATTGCCCAAAGTGCCTGGAATAAATAATACTGTGCACAAAATTTGTTATGTAATACAGATTTAAAAATAAAATTACATCCTCTCCTTTGCTGGTTAGCAGAGGAAACTTAAACCCAGGCATTAAAGAACTAAAGGAAAATAACTGGCAAGCTGAAATTTTACTTCGAGCTATCCTTCAAAAACTAAGGTGAAATAATGCAATTTATTTATTTATTTAGTGGGCACTTTCCAGACCAAGAAAAGCAGAATTTATTGCTGGAAACCTACACTGAGAAGTATTCTTTAGGCAAAAGAAAAAGATCTCAGGTAGAAGTCGAAGCTGCAGGAGGAAGGTATTAAGAACAGAAAAGATTAATATGCAGATATATCGATGTGACTCCTGACTGTGTAAAACCGTAATAACTGTGCCTTTTAGCAGTATTAAATGTGTAACATTAAAATTCATGAAAACAAAAGCAAAGTGTAAGAAGAGGATTAATAGGCTTAAAGTCTTCTAAGGTGGTTGTATCTGTAAAATGATGAGAATTACATTTATTATATCTCTTATAATTTAAGTATGTGTGTTGTAATCCCTTGGGTATCCATTAAACGTGAAGTAAAAATGTGAAATTAACAAGCTAACAGATGAGGAAAAACAGAAAAAGAAAAAATATTTGATTATTCCAAGAGAAAGCAAGAAAAGACAGAGAGAGAGAAAATAAAGAGGAAAGGACAAATTGAAAACGAAGATGGTAGATTTAAAACCAAATATATGAGTAATTACATTTTTTAAGTTACATTAAAATTATATTTAAAAAGCAATTATATAATTACATAAAAATGTAAACACACTGAAATTCTTTAATTGTAAAAAGCTATCAGACTAGATTTAAGACAATATCTGAAATATATGCTTCTTATAAGAGACTTTAAAATAAAGACAGAAAAAAATCAAAGTAAAAGAATGGAAAAAAGAGATAACATCCAAATTGGAATGCTGTATTAGGGCAGTGTTTTGTTTTTTAATAGCTTTGGCAAAATCACAATAACTTTCAATTATCATCCCACTGCTTTGCTGCTTCTTCCAAATGCTCATGCCCCAGAACGGAAGAATATAGCTATGATTCTAGAAGGCTGGCAGTTTAGATGTTGAACTTGAAAGAAGAGAGTGCTGAAAAATACAGCTCATACCTCAGATAAAGGAACAGTCAGACTGTGAATGGGTTTAATTTAAAAATGGCTAATAGGCCACTATGGTTAATAATGAACCGGCTGTTCTTGACAGAGGTAACTAAAAGTCACACCAGGTCTGATCCTTTGAGTGGAACATAACATAGGTGCTTTCAGGCTTATGAAGAGGAAAAAACATTGACCGTTTAAAAAACATAAGTCATTTTTACCCATTAAGAGTACATTAACTCCTGGGGCAAAGCCCCGAATCCCCAGCAGTACCATCATACATAGGGAGTACAAGTTCATCACAGGATGAGAAGAGTGAGTCTCAATTAAGCTCCCTGCCTTCTGGTTCTCTTGTTAGACCAGACAAATCTCAGAGATAAACTATGGACAGAGAGTTACATACTGTGCAATTGCCACTTGAGAATCCCTAATCCAAAAATTCAAAATCCAAAACTTTTTGAGCACCAATATAATGCCACAAGTGGAAAATTCCACACATAACTGCTTAACACAAACTTTGCTTGATGCACACACTTTTTCTAATATTGTATAAAATTACCTTCAGGCTATGTGCATAAGGTATATGTGACACATAAATGAATTTCATGTTTAGACTTGGGTTCCACCCCCAAGCTATCTCATTATGTAGATGCAAATATTCCAAAGTCTGAAAAAATCCAAAATCTAAAACACTTCTGATTTCAAGCGTATCAGATAAAGGATCTCAACTTATAATAAGAACTGGCAGCCAGAAATCCATGCTCATTGGCTATTAAAATTAGAGTTAGAGCTGGATCCAAAATGCTGCTAGACATTGATGTATATTATTAAAACGTGAAATAAAAAACATAATATTGCCTTCTCGGCCTCTATGATAACTCATAGGCTACAGTAGAACCAAAGAGAAAGCTGTAGGGTGCTTTGACATTACTGTTCTCAAAAAATAAATAACAAAAAATAGGTACTATTAGAATCTTTTGGTATTATAGAAGAGATAGGGGAAGGAAAGAAAGTGCACAGGAGTTTGGCACTTAGGAATAAGGTGCTTTGCTTTGTTCTCTTATTCGTTGACCCAATGATTTTGTTATGAATCACTCATTATGACATGTACTCTCCCCTTTTTGCTTTTCCATGGGCCTGCCATATCCTAATTTTGCATCAATCATATGTTATCCTTCTTTTAGGTATCATGAAAGACATTAGGTGACTTACTCTCAAGTATCTAAATCCTCCTTTTAGCCTAAGGCTTGTCTTCTAGTTCTCTCCTTAAGCCAATATTCTAAGAATGCACGACAATGCTTTGCCTCCAAACTCCCTGGCATTCAATCCACAGCCATTTTACTTAATTGGAGGGTAAACATCTCCCTTGCTTTCCCCCAAATTCAGCTACTTAAAACCTAGTTTTAGTTGTGAATAATATTTCACACCTAAATTCTTTCTTAGAAAGTCATAAGACACTGGCGTATGCCTTTGAATATTTATCACTTGGTCTATTAGTAAGTATTGTTTCTAAAATTCCACATTTCAAAGAAGTTAAAAATATGCCAGGAGCTTTAAAAGACCACCTTCCTGGATCTTCTGCCACATGTGTACCTATGCAACAATCTTGCATGTTCTTCACGTGTACCCCAAAACCTAAAATGCAATTTAAAAAAAGGCCACTTTCGAAGTCAATTAGCACCTATAAATTGATATCATCCAGTTACTTGGATAAAAGATTCACCTGATGAATGGTTACGTCAATAGTCAAGAAGTACTGTACTACCAGTATAAAAAGATAAAAGCATTTGGACTTCTTGAATACATCAAGTATACTTAAGCATAAGTATAAAGTATGTAAATAGAATCCTTTGATATACAAAATGTGATACAGAATGATAGCAAATTGAACTGACATCATAAAGTCTCTACCTCGCTCTTTTAGGTAACAAATTTGGACCACTGGAATAATAACACAGACTGGCCCTTCATCTTAAATGGGTTTTATCAAGCCTTAGTGGCAGCATTTTCTTTACTTTGGAATATGTCCTGAAACCTGAATCAAAGTCTATGGAAAATATGATTCAATATCCAAATCTGTACTTTATTCAAGGCCTTTCAGGGAGGTACATATGATTAAAGAAAGACTAAGTAAAATGAGTTATATCATGGTTGTAACTACCATTTGCAGAACACTTGCAATGAGTCAGGCATTTTATATACTTTATTTCTCATCTTAATCTATATAGCAGGCTTGCAAATGTGAGTAACAGAGGCAAGGAAAGTTGTTAGCTTCGTCACCTAAGCTAACAAATACCAGAGCTAGGATTCAAATCCATTGTTGTCTGGCTCCAAAGCCAGGGCTCATTGGCTATAAAGAAATCACACTCCTGGGTCCCCTCAGTTCCCATCTGATGTGCTCCATTGAACAACCCAAAGAGGAGTATCAGTTCTGTCATCAACTGCTGCTAGCAACATTGCATCCTCAGGAGGCGAGATGCTGCCTTCATAAACCACATCACAAAAATACCCTCTGGAGAAGAGGAGGGTGTAGTAAAAAGTCATTTTTCTTCGTTTTGTTCAAAGTGTACCATGGAAAATGAGACTTTAAATTGGGTAAGAAAGAGAACTTTTAGAAATACTGATTCATACTCTGTCCCCTGGAGATTTTGATGTGACTGGTGTGCAGATAGGGTCCGAGCATCAGTAATTTTTAAAGTTCTCTAGATGATTCTAATGGATGGGCACTGAGAACCCCTGTCCTAGAAAGTAAGGTGTGTGTGTGTGCAGGTGTGTGCATGTGTGCGTGTGTGTTTGTGTGCCTATCCTCCAAATATGTTATTTTTCTTTGTTCCCATATAACTGATAAAATACAGAAGCAATCAGTCAGTGGTAAAGACACACAACCAGGTCTCCATTACCTGGGTGGTGTCTTCCATCAGCCCACGAATCTTCTCCACAACATCGTTTCTCCGATGCTGGCGCAGGGCGCTAATCAGCTGGGCGAGGCTGGCCTCGGGGCCTCGGATGGTCCAGTGCTGCAGAGCCGCGTAGGCCCGCTCGTGGTCAGCTGTGTACCCACTGGAGAAAGCAGCAACTTCCCTCTCACTAGCATTGCAGAGAAATTGATAGATATCTTTCCATTGGCTTCCCACTTGGGCTGCTACAAGCTTCAGGATGTCGATACCTACACCAGAGAAAAAATAAAAGAAAAAACAAATGAGGGCTTGTAAGGGAAGCTCCTTTTGTAAGGCAGCTCTGCTTTAATGAATGAACTAGAAGAGGGACACTTTCCTATCGCTGTATATCAAAGGAATGCACTGCCTCCCTTAAGCACTTGGCACAAGCAGCTCATCTTGTGGACTAGCTGGGTACCCTCATACAAATTTCACTTCCTGCGTGTGGAACCAGAAGAAGGAGGGATCATGGAACTATAATAAATCAGCCCCAAATGTTTTGAAAGCTAAACCCAAAGAGGGTATTCACAGTGATTCCTCTGTTACTATAGTAATCCATCCTTGTTGGAGGAGAGAGGTGGGGTAGAAAAGCTCCAAGATCCCCAGTGGATGCCTGAAGCCACAGAATAGTACTGAGCCCTATACACTATGCATGAATTTCTTTTTCCTTCTTCACAATGTCATAGTTAGAAGATTTCTCTTCTTGTAGCTCTTAGCAACCTCAGCATACTTTTCTTATTAAGTTGGGAACTTTCATCTTTTCACTTAAAGGAAGTACTTCATAGCCACTGGCATATCCAAATCGTCAGCATCACTCCTCTTGTGCTTTGAGCCATTATTAAGTAAAATAAGGGTGACTTGAACACGGGCACTGCAGTACCAGTACCATGACAGTCAATCTGATAACCTAGATGGCTATTAAGTGACTCACAGGCAGGTGAGGTCTCTAGCATGGATATGCTGGACAAAGGGATGATTCCCTTCCACACTGGGACAGAGCAGGATGGTACAGGACAGTGTGAGATTTGATCATATTACTCAGAATAGTGCATATTCTAAAATTTATGAATTGTTTATTTCTGGAATTTTCCATTTAGTACTTTTGGACTACAGGGGACCACAGGCAACTGAAACCTTGGAAAGCTAAACTGTGGATGAGGGAGGACTACTGTACTAAAGACAACAGTAACCAAGTAAGTTAGAGGCTCCCATCTAAAACCATGGTGACTTCATGACATTTACAAAAAGGGAAGCTGCAGATGAAAACTGTGAAGGACTTTGTCATTGTCTAGGTAAAAGGTGTTCAAATTCTGGGAATGGTGTCCTTTATATCAACTGACAGTGTGCCCAGCTGTTCCCGGCCAATAGAGCATTCCTGAAGAACGCCTAACTTGTGCTTAAATTCATGTTCAACAAGCAATTTTCTAATTCATTATTCAGTCTTCCAACTTGACTTGCATAATTATAATGAAGACAACAGCCAAAAGGACAGTATAATAACAGTAGCTATTATCTTCCAGGTATTATGTTAAGGCATTAGCCCACTGAACATCTTTATAAAGCATTAATATTCCAATTACACAGGTAAGAAAAAAAACACTTAGAAAAATGTAGGCTACTGGCCCAATATCACAAACGTAGGTAAGTAGGTTACTGAACCCACCTCACCAGGTTTGTAATTCAAATCCTGTATGTGTCACCACTATAAAATCTGACAATATTGATGGTACCTTCCAAGAGGAAGGAAATGCTTTGGCTTATAAAAGGCCATGAATCCCTTGACCAGCTATTCTGGTCAAGAATATTATTCTGACAGACAGCTGTCCCCAATGATTCAATATATTGTCATTCTGGCTCATCAGTCACTTGAAAACCCAGTGAGTGTGCATTTATGGTCCCCAGATACGATGAACAGATGAAACTGGTGAAATGCAAAAATCAAATCTCAAGATCCAAAAACTCAGGATAAGCACCTGGCACCAACCCTTTGTGAGGGAAGGCTCTCCCTGAGTAGCTCACTTTGGTGTCCCTCTCTTTACGGCATCTTCTCTCTGCAATTACACATTGGCTTTGCCAGGATTTACACATGGGGTGCATATATCACCCTTACAGTAAGGGCTCTGGTATTTTACTACAACAGGTGAGTGAGTCGTCTGAATCAATGTCATGTTTTTGGTTTTGTTTTATTTTTTTAAGATGGTGTTTTGCTCTTGTTGCCAGGCTGGAGCGCAATCTCGCCTCACTGCAACATAAGCCTCCCAGGTTCAAGGGATTCTCCTGCCTCAGCCTCCTGAGTAGCTGGGATTACAGGCACCCGCCACCACATCCAGCTAATTTTTGTATTTTTAGTAGAGACTGGCTGGTCTCCAACTCCTGACCAGCCTTCCTAATTTATTTTTGGAAGTAGTCCCATCATTATGAAGCTCCATATACCACACTCCTTCGAAGTGGTGGATCACCTCTAACATGTCTTTGAATGAGGCCATGTTCACCTACCCTGATAACATAGCTGTTATAGTTAACCATGTCTTAAAAGTATTTACTACTCAATAAAAAAAACAGGTTCAAGTTCCCAAGTGAGGCTTAGGAGAGAAAGGAAAAGAAGAATAAAGAGGGGTTTGCTGTTCTGATTTTTTAATAAGAGGTTTCCCAGAAAAAAAAACATCTTTTTTTGCATCCATCAGTTGTTCAGGAAAATATTTGTAAAATGAGCTATTACTTATTGCTAGTAAAAACAATAATAATTACAAAAGTTTCTGTAAGAATGAAGGACACGGTGGTTCCTCAACATGCATTCTTCCTCTGCCATCAATCCTATTGAGGCAGTGGAAGACTGTATACACATCCTGAACCAATCCACGGAAAATGGTCTTTAAAAATAAGTTCCTAGTAGAGGGCTATTCTATTCTCAACCATAAAAATAGAATTCCGGCAGGGCAGGGTGGCTCACACCTGTAATGCAGCATTTTGGGAGGCTCGCTTGAGCCCAGGACTTTGAGACCAGCCTAGGCAACATGGTGAAAACCCATTTCTACAAAAAAATACAAAAATTAGCCGGGTGTGGTGGCATAGGTCTGTAGTCCCAGCTACTTGGGAGGCTGATGTGGGAAGATCGCTTGAACCCCAGAGGTGGTGGCTGCAGTGAACCGAAATTACACAGCTGCACTCCAGCCTGGGTGAGAGAGGGAGACTCTATCTTCAAAAGAAAAAAAGTAGAATGCCACAAAAAAACAACAAAAAAAAAAGACCACCACAAATTGAGTCATTACTGTACTTCTCACACAGTTTCTTCCCTGGCAGTGTGAAGTTACTTGAACCAACTGCTTTTCAATTTTCTGAGCAATGTTTAGTCAGATATAGAGCATTTGATTTCAAGCAAAATAGACTCCTCAGAAAACTCATATCCGATTTAAAATCCTGCAGGTAACTTTAAGGAATAAGCCAGCAATTTGTGGTTGATGTGGTAGACTCTTCCAAACACCAAAAGGCTTGTTAGTCCCTGAATCTTAATTTAGGTCAATTTGACTAAGGCCTGCAATGTCTTACATGAAAACATGACTGTGTTTTCTGGTAAGTAGGACCATTGCTTAAATCTTCATAATGCCGATGACAGTGGCTTTGGGCAAACCTCTAACTGTCATGTCCATTTTTTCATGTGTACAATGGAAAAACTCACTGGGGTCACTGGGGATAAGCTGATTAACATTTTCTATAGAGTTAATTTATTTTTGGAAGTACTCCCATCATTATGAAAGCTCCATATACCAGCACTAAAACTTAAGGCTCAATGCATTTCAGATGCAAATACACAGCCTTTACAAAGTAATTACAGAGTTTAAAAGGTTTCCGGTTTAACAACAAGTCGTTCTTCCAAAACCCAGTACTGTATTTATCTTTTTTTTAAGCCACAAAATAAAGAAAAAACTGGAAAAAAAAAACCCCACAAAGAATAGATACAATGAGATTTCCCATAAACTAAAATGGACTGAAAGCTAAATTTCAGGCCTACAAATCAGGTTTCATCTTGTTCTTTCTCTCAACTAGATTCTCTACTATGAAAACATAGTCAACTCCATGAACTGGCTGGAGCTGCCAATGTTCTTCACCGCTGTCCTCTCCCACCGTGGAGTTGATAAATCAAAGATAAATGAACGACACCATTAGGGGATACCAACCTTCTAGTCTAGCAAGTTATCATAAAACCCCAGTGAGGAGACCAGTCTGGGACTTTGAATGCCTTCTTTGTTTAGGAAAAAGTGTTAAGCAAAAGAAAACAATCAACTGCAGAAAAAAGCAGGAGGATAATTTGCCAAATTGAGATAGTCACCTCTTTGGGGAGGGAGGGGAAAGGGCACAGAAGGGTTTTCAAAGGTATTCATAAAGTTCTGTTTCCTAGGCTGGACAGTGAAGAAATGGGTTTTCTTTTCATGTTATTATTTTTATTTGGGATGTATTTTACTATTCTTTTTTAAACTATCTATATCACATACACATATAAAACATACACATATATAAGATGTGTTTATATATACTTTATAAACACACATGGTTAGGTGGTTAAGTGTTTAATTTTGTTGGTAAGGAAATCTCATGTAGAGGGGTTGGTGACTAGTGCAAGGTCACTCACCCAGTTAGTGATGCCTCAATTGTGGTTAATAGGGAATGTGAGGTAGTTGAGGAACACTACTATTTGCCAGAATGATGCTCCTCCGGCATGGCCATCCAGCCTTGGATGAACGCACTCCAGGCTGGCCACTGTGTGTGTGCTGCCTCCTGGTCCGTTATTACTGACCAAGTATATGTTGGTGCAAAAGTAATCGCAGGCTGGGCTGGTGGCGTATGCCTATAATTCTTTGGGAGGCTGAGGTGGGTGGGTCCCTTGATCTAGGAGTTTGAGACCAGCCTGGCCAACATGGCAAAACCCTATCTTTATTAAAAACATAAAAAATTAGCCAGGCATGGTAGTGCATGGTAATCCCAGCTACTTGGCAGGCTGAGACAGGAGAATTGCTTGAACCTGAAAAGCAGAGGTTGCAGTGAGCCAGGATTGCATCACTGCACTCCAGCCTAAGCAACAGAGTAAAATTCTGTCTCAAAAAACAAACGAAAAAGAAGTCATCGTGGTTTTTTTGTCACTGAAATGGCAAAGACCACAGTAACTTTTGCACCACCTAATAGACACGGGAACAGTTTCCCAGGGCACTTTATCTCTTTTTTTGCGATCTCAGCT